AAATGTGAACAAATGCCAACTAAGGAAATTCAGTATATAAGAAAATCAATACAGGAAATAAGACAATATCTTAAAGAGTACATCTGAGAGTCTGTTGCTGCAAAACAGCAGGATTGGGGAATATTGTCTAGATGAAACATCCATTGCATTTGATCCAGTACAAAAAATTAATGGGAAATTAATTATGTAGGAACCTTCGAATGTTCTGTGATCAATGAAGGAAGATCACAGTTAACTGTGTATATGTCTTTATCATAATGTAATGTTTCAATGAGGATTTGAATAAATAGGAAATCAATCCTATGAGTTTGTTAAAGAATGCAATGGATTAAGGGACTTAACACAATTATGTTTTGGGACAATATGTAGTATAAGGTAGTGGCAGAGTTGGGTAATAAAACCTACATGAAATGACAGAACAATACAAACAAAGACAAAGTTCTTCTATGGAAATATGTGTGCAAATGCTTCCCAAGGGTGCTATCCGTAAAAGAAAAGAGAAGATCCCCCAATTTTGGCTAAGTTGCTCATGTTGTTTACATTGCGAGGGTGAATTCTAGACGCATATACTACCACGGGGGTCCAGAGGGCAGAGCCCCCTGCCTAGGGAATATATACCACGGTGTTAGTTTAGGTTGGGTGTTGGGTTAGGATGTTTTGTTTAACAACCACGGGGGTCCTGTTTTACCCCATAATTTCCCTGATATACTTCATGCCGTCCCCTGCTATCGGAGATGGTGATCATATCTCCTCAATGATTCATTTGCACAAGGAACAACGCCTAGAGTCATTGAAAGCAGTGGATCTCATGCAGAAAAATATCAAAATTGTTTCGAAAGTAACCCACTAATCTCTTCTACATAGTGACCGGGGGGGATCTTCTCTTTTCTCTTACGTACAGCAGCCTTGGGAACTTGTCTTGGTTTGCATTGTTCTATTATTTCATGTAGGTTTTATTACCCAACACTGCCACTACCTTATACTACATATTGGCTGTCTTTTCAGCCCAGACAGAAAAATAAGAAACATATGAAAGTGTAAAAACTAAATAAGAGAAAAATCTGATTACAAAACTCTTCCTGCGGTGAAAATAAGAACAAAATCCCATTCCAACCCAGAAGTGAATATAGAAACAAAAATATAAAACTTAAATGATATATACTTAGCATGTTTCTTAACAGAACAACAAATCCAATTATTTTAGCTTACATATAGCTTACATCTATGATTCACAAACAAATAAGTTGCCAAGTACAAGGTCAAAATTAATTCTCCATCAAAAAAGGCCAAAAAAGAGGTCATATACAGCCTCTCCATGAATTACACTTATTACGAAAACTGCCTCCCTACAAGACAGAGGTATAAGGGAAGAGCTCAAAAGAGTTCCTATCAAAAGGGGGAAAAAATCAAAATCCTGCACCCAATCTTACGGAAATAATAAAAGCCTCGCTCTTAAACCCATTAGCGGTAATTATGTACCATTCGCCTATTCCTAAATCTGATACAGCACAGGGAATCTCAAGGAATCATTTTCATATCTACTGACTAACGACCTCTGTACTAAACCTCAGTGACCAAAAAAAAATAAAATAAAAATAAAAAATAAAAAAAAGACAAAACTCTCTTTGTTTATTTCCCTCTCTCTCTCTCTCTACCTTTTAAATAAATAGAAACCATTATATCCAGCCCCTCCCCCCCAACACAAGACAAAAGAAAATGAGAATTTAATGAAGAAAATACGAGAAAATAGGCAAAAAGGAGAGGCATTTCCCGTTCTCCACATTTAGGAGAATTTCCCCCCCTACCCCCCCAGGAAGAGACAAAGAAAAGGGAAAATTCGCTCCAAATTTAGGAGAATTTCCCCTTTCCCCCCGCCCCCCCAGGAAGAGACAAAGAAAAGGGAAAATTCACTCCAAATTTAGGAGAATTTCCCCCCTCCCCCCCAGGAAGAGACAAAGAAAGGGGAAATTCACTACAAAATTTAGGAGAATTTCCCCCCCTCCCCCCTACAGGAAGAGACAAAGAAAGGGGAAAATCGCTCCACATTTAGGAGAATTTACCCCCCCTCCCCCCCCAGGAAGAGACAAAGAAAAGGGAAAATTCGAGGTGGAAATGAAGGCTCATTTTCCTCACTTCCTCATTTCCTCATTTTCCTCACACCCTTTCCCTCCCCCTGACAAAATGAGGGCAAATTCATCGATTTTTCGCCTGTCTTTCAGTGTCACGATGAAACAGACAGTGAAAAGGACTTCCCTCTTGGCCGTGACCTTTGACCTCGTGACCCCATCTTGACCTGGTTATCTCGCGAGACCCATCGATGCTAAAAAACCCTTATTTTAGACCTTTTCCCTTCATCATACCCACGTAAAATCGACTTACCAGAGTCCGTGTACCAACTGCCAGCGTGGGTGGCGCGTCGAGCCGACATTTTGATCCCTATTTTGGTAAATTTTCGATAAAATAAAGAAATTAAAGGAAATGACAACAAGGGACCCTCGGT